CCCCAGCGGAGGCGGCGCCGCCAGCCACCCCGACGTCAAGACCTCGGAGCTTCTCGCCGGCGAGGGCACCATGACCACCGTGGAGCGAAGGCTGCACCAGCTTATGCTCTCCGTTAGGGACTTCGAGACTCCCTCGTCGCCCAAGGAGATGAATAAGGGGAGGAAAAGGATGGTCACGATTGAAAGCTGCGACCAAAAGGGGTATTCCATTGTCAGCATCGAGTGCAAGGACCGTCCCAGGCTCATGTTTGACACTGTTTGCACGTTGACGGACATGCAGTACGTAATTTTCCACGCTTCCATCAGTTCCCATGCAGGTTATGCATTTCAGGTACATAAAAATTAGTGGCTAATTGATTGCAGCATCTTAATTTTTTACGGGTTATTCATTTTTTAGTTACATCATTTGCTTCATGCCTTCATCTATCACTTTTTCTTTCTTTTGCTGACTGCTGAGAGTGTACATACTACCCACTATTTGCCCACTCAATTGTTCATGCAAAACAAATGAAAAACCATAGTACATTTAAAAGCTCTGATTGATATCAGAGCTAAAGTTGTTACATAAATACATACATGATACATCTTTAACACTATTTTACGCTAAACTCCTTGAATATTTAATTTTAACAATTTCTAGCTCAATTTGTAAACTCTTTTCAAAAGTTTCAAGTGAGATGTCTACTTCCTAGTTTTATTAGACTAATTTTATGTGTTTTTAAGGTAATTAAGTATCGATATAGTATTCCTCATTTACCATGATGAATTAATTAATTTCATGTTTTAATGGGTTTACAGGAGTATTTTATCAGACACGTAGACGGATATGCTTTAGATACAGCATGCGAGAAGGAACGAGTAATGAAATGTTTAGAGGCAGCTATAGAACGCCGGGTTTGTGAGGTAATTAAATTAAGCATATAGATTGGCCATAATCTCCATTATTACTATCAATTCATCACTTTTATATATATATATATATATATATGTATGTATATATGTATATATTTGCTTTTGCTTAACTTGAAATATATATATGTGTGCAGGGAGTTAGGTTAGAGTTGTGTGCAGACAATAGAGTTGGATTGCTCTCTGACATAACCCGAGTACTCAGAGAGAACGGCCTCGTGGTTGTTCGAGCAGATGTTGAAACGCGTGGAGAGAAATCTGTGAATGCTTTCTATGTGAGGGACATATCAGGGAACGAGGTTGACATTGAATACTTCAGCAAAACAGTGAAGAGGGAAATGGGTCCAATCGTCACGCTCCGTGTCAAGAATAATGACACTAGCAGAAGAAAGCCTACTACAGCTACAGCCTCACCTAAACAGTCATCCCCTCTCTCATTCGGAGGCATGCTAAGATCTAGGATTGAACGTCTTTCTCATGGCTTCATTCTATGAAAGTCAAGTCTAGATGAATCCCATTTACGTAGTTATATGCGTATATAAGTAGTTGTAGTTCAGCTCAATTTCACCTAGTTATATGGATATGTAAATGTATCTATTAGTAATGTACGTAGGTTGTGTTCAGAAATTCTGAATACCCCCAGCTATCGCTACCCGCTGGGGGCTCTGTAAATAAAATCATTATTATTTTTTTATATATATTCTTCTGTCTGTGCATAATTAAAATCTAGCTGCTATGGTACTCAGAAATTTAGGGATTATAGTACATTGGCCAATAATTGAATAAATTTAGATACACTGATTAAAGAAGAGAGTGAAAGAGAAAGAACTTCATAATAACAATACCAAAAATCTTTTAAAAAAATTAAGATATCATAAAATTTCTATATTAATTTGTGTATTGGCCTATTGGGCTATTGGCATGGCTACTTATAGATGCTGAGAATTTGAAGAGTAGTTATAATACAAAGAGAAATCTAAGAATTTTGGTATAGTTAATTTTTAGGCCAATAATTCAATGACTTTAGATAAATCAAGACAAAGACAAAAAGAAAGAGCGAGTTTCTCATTAACAGTATGAAAATCCTAAATTTTTGTAAAGTAGTATAGAATTTCTCAAATTTTAAAAAATGGTTAGTATATAAACTAACTCTATATGCAGATGCCACTAATGGAACAAAAAAAAAAAGTGCAAAATACAATTTATCTTCAAACAAAGCCCCCGGGATTCCTATTTCAAGGCCAGAACCACTATATAATATGAATAAGATGAGAAAATGGAAAACGTACGTCTATGTGAGTTCCATGTTTAGTCTCCTTAACCATATAGAGTGCAAGATCATGTGAAAAACATCGAATCTCTTGGCAGGCCGATTCAGTGTAAAATGCCTCCTCACAGCCTTCACTCCCTCCTTAAGCTTCCGATACTCATCGTCCGAAATGGCACTAAGAACCTCTTTCAATCTAGGAATGTCTGAAACATCCACCTGCACCGAAAACGCTTCCCACTGCAGCACGTCACTGAAGGGCAAGACGTAGTACTTAGACAGGATCACGGGAACGCATTCGGCGTAAATTGCCTCCACGATTCTGGGGCTGGCCACTTCGTGCCCACTTGGGCAAAGACAGAACTTTGAGTCGAGCATGAAGGAGTAGTAATCTAGGTCTTTGGGGAGGTACTCGTAGACGCGAATGGCTTCGTCGTGGTTTTTCCAGTGGCGGAGGAGGGAGGGGCGGATTGGGCCGTGGAGACCGCCGGAGAAGAAGGCGAGATAGCGGCGGGGGGTGGTGTCCGGTGGGGGTGAAAGAAGTTTAGGGGAGACTTCGCCTCCGTAGAGGTGGATTTCTGGTAACGACACGTCCTTTCGAGGGTTGAACCCCTCTGAAGTGTTGGCGTTGCACAAGACGCGGATTGAGGTGTTGTAGAGGAAGGGATTGCCCCGTGAAGCATGAGGACCCTGCAGAAAATTTGGGGCCAAAACACAAGTTAAATTCAAATTCAATGAGTTGACATGTTTGGATAATTTTTTTCTGAAACATTTAAAAAAATAAATTAAAAGAAAATTTGAAATAAGTTTTTTATAAATTGGAATTAATTTATACATAAATTATATTAAAATTTTTAAAAATAATAATAAAGAAAACTTCTACAAATTAAATTATTCATAAATTAATTTTAGTTTATAAAAAATCTCATTTTATTTTTCTTTCATATTTTTCTATATTGAAATTACTTATCATGAAATTTACCAAATAAGACTCTTTCTCGTGTTATTTCTGTGTCTAAAATTCTTAGCGGCATAAAGTTTTGTTGGTTCACACTATCAAGCTTTTCCAAAGACCAATGTCTATTTTCTTTATTGGAAATACCCTTGATTACTAGAAGACCACCACTTATATATTTTCCGACCAATCTCCAAGAGGACCACCAGAATTTTATTAACCGTTTATTTATAAATTGATATTTTAGGTGTCATGCACGTAAAAATTGGTGACGATGATGAACACGTAATGATTCATACATTACTTTCTCCTCAAGTACTAATGTGTAAAGGATTTGTTTAAGCTCCTATATTTAGACATCAGCGGCTGGTAACAAGTTGTTCATTTTGGCAAGGAAGCAAACTTTGACAAATTCATTTCATGCATTATGCAAGCCTAAAACTAATACATGGAAAGTGCAGTGCGATCACATGGTTCAATTATATCTTAATTTGACATGAAGAAATTATCATATATATGGTCTGGAATATCTTTGTGATCCTAATTAATCTCCACGTAACATATAATTATGTCTTTTAATCAATAAAAATAATTAATAACATATTATATATTAAATTGATTGGATTCATATGTTATCAAATTCAGACCTTTTAGTAATTTCTCTAACTCAAGGAAAAAAAATATGTATAAAATCTATTTAAATAGAAATTAGAAGTACTTTGAGAAAAAAATTTTCACTGAAAATAAAGAATATATTTCATACAAAGACTCTTAAAAACGTTTTTAAACATAGATAAAATAATAAGGGAGTTGCACTAACCCAATCATGACAGGCAAGCATGAAGTGGTCTGCACCATTAGTTCTATTCCAGAAGGGGTGTCTTGTAGATATCACTCTCACATAGTCAGAGGCAAATTGCTTTAGAGGAGTGATATCGTATGAGAGTGGAGTATAGAGGTACTTGACCATCCAAGTGACACTGAATGGCAAAAAGTAAACGTGAGCAGCATTGGGGTTGTTGGTCCTAAACCTCCCAGCGGCAGCGCCGTGTTCCATCTCATGGAGGAACCTCCCTTCAATTGAGTATATGTCCTTGCACGGACCATCGTGAACAATTGGTAGCTCACCCTCGGGGTATACGTACACCTTCAATATTTTCTCCATCTCTAAGTAGCTTCTGTAATTATAATAATTACTATTAATTTAATTACAAATTAGTCATGATCTTAACTTAGGGTCAATAGTGAATTAAAGTAACAGTAACTAATGCAAAGAATAAGAAAAGTGAGAATTTCACTCTCTTAATGAGCCTGTTATAGAAATGTCATATCTAAAAAAGGTAACCGTACGTAAACCAAAGAATCTCATCAAAATTATGCACGAATAATTTTTTGTAATGAAATGATAAAACATGCTTGGTCAATTGGAAAACGAAAATCCTCTAGAGTTGACATTTGAGCCACTCACTTTGCAGTTGTAATCAGAAGGTTAAAAAAATTTTATTACACACATTTTAATCATTTAGTAATAATAAATTAAATATTTAAAGGTTGAGATCTTATGCAGATTAAATTCAAACCTAAGAAGATTCGGAATCTAACAGTGACTTGTATTAACTGAAATTTTTTAGTATCTGTTGTAGCAAAAGATATTCGTGTAGTAATAATATTTTCAGATAGATTTCTCTTAATAATTTTAACAATAAGAAAAGAGAAAAAAAAAACTTAATAAGTTGATAGCTAGATATGAAAAAAAAAGTATTGAAAATATTATGAGAAATTATTATAATTAAGAATAACTTTATTCATTATACAATGAAATTAATTAACCACAATAAAATATTTAGTTACAATCATTTTCCAATGTGTCATACTCACTATTATTTTCAATTATTGCATAATTACTAATTAATCCTCCTACGTAAAGGATTCCATTTTTATTAGACACTCTTGAACACTAAACTTTAGAATCACGTGGCTCTTAATGCAATCTTATTAAATAATTTTGAAATACTAATGATGATGATAACAGAAACTTCCAAAGGAATGAATGTTATATATTATTGTTACATCGTATATTCTTATTCTATGTTTCGATGTAGATAGTCTAATTATATGCCACCCCATAATAGAATTTCTTGATCATCCTTTAAAGGTGGTGATTGGTTGCTTATTGAAATTAATGAATAGTAAATACGGGGTGGCATGGGGAGCAGTCTGCTGCAATGATGGCTAGCTAATAAGCTTCCAACATTGCATTGCCAATATATGTTTAGTCCGGTAAAGTAACATACACTTTATATATAACCCCTTTCGGCCTTTCCCTTTCTTTCTTATAATGGAAGATACATATGAATCATGGAAATAGGGGGATACCAGTTACCACTAGCACTGAGTGTTTGCAATAATAAAAAGTTCATTCATAGCAAAGGAGCTTTTTGCAGAAGAGTATGATAATTGATTTCTTCTCCATCCTTTTTCATGATTCACAAGGTTGAGTGTGAAAATACGAAGCGAATGAATCAATAGTGGCACACTCGCATTCCCTTATCGTATATCAGAAGAAAAGATCAAATTATTATCGTTTTTCTTTTAAGAAGAAAAAGAAAAGTAAACATCTTTTTTACGTGGCATAAAAATATTACGGTGGTGGTGACTTCTAAGCAAAGTGAATAGGTTTTTTATACTTTCATAGTGCTAGAGTTTATTTTTAGGATTAAAGTAATGTAATAGTTTATTTTTAATTAATTATTTAAATTATGATAAATATAATTATATGTACAAATATACATAAACTAAATTATAAATTTAATTTTAATTATTTGCTTTTTATAATAAATATTATCATACTTTTTCATTATATTATATTTTTATGGAAGAAAACTCTATTTTGATAACAATAATAATAATAACTTTTATAAATATCCTATTTCGAAACACAATTAGACATGAGTATTTCATGTAAAGAAAATTTAAAATATAATTCATTACATGTTATTAGGAGTGAAAATAGGTTATATCAAGTTTTAAATATATAAGTTAAGTTTATTTTTTTAAATTAGAGTCTAAGTTTAATTTATTTAATATCGTAAAAAAATTTATAGATATGACCTTTTAAAATTTGATACGACTTATAAGTTTATTTAAAAATATACTTTATAATTAGGTTATTTAAAAATTTATTTTACATTAATGATATTAAATAAGTTAATGAATTTTAAATTTTTAAATAAATAATAATTATATTTTTAAGTGCATGCAAGTATTTTTTTAATTTGTATGATGACTTTTTTTAATTTGCATGATAAAAAAGAATTTATTCTATCATTATTAAAATTTATAATTTAAAATAATAAAAAATAAAAAACTAATTAAGAAACAACTCATATCCTAACATACATCCATACACATACAATAAGAAAATACTTTGAATTTTCATTACATGAAATACTCATTGTACAAGCGTGAAGAGTATATATCATTTGTGAAGAATAATATTGAATTTCCGTAAGCTAATAATAATAATATATACACTTCAAGCTGATAATATTGTATCTTCATGTTTAGGTTAATTAGGTTATGAAAGTTATGATATATACGCAATTTCACATTTCATATATTTTGTTAACATTTATTATTTATTATAATACTAACTAAGTCTCCATGAAATAGGAGAGGTAGTGGAAGGAGTTACCGGTCAAATAAGCGCGGGTTACGATAGATGGCTCCCGCGGGGACGTAACGGTGGTCTCCGCCGTCGTGCGTGGTGGTTGCCGCAGTGAGATTGCTTCTCTCTTCTGATTCCGATTTGCGCATTGCAGCTCTTGCTGCCGCGAGTCTTTGTTCCACTTTTCCTACTTTCCTCTGTTCACTCAAATTAATTATCAATTCAATTTGCTATTTTCATTCATTCTTGCGTGATTAAGGACAAACAAATGCTAAAATGCATGAAAATAAGAATAACAAAAAAAAAAAAAAAAACTTCAAATTAACGCTGCTGATGATTGATGCGACAGAGTCTTCAGTTTCGAAACGCTCATAAATTAAGTCATGAAACAGAGGAAAGAAAATCGACGGAGAGAGAAGTCACAAATCAGCGTTGGAACTTACGGAATCAGTTCCGCCAATTCGGTGGCTGGATTTTTTCCGGTAAAGTTCGCCGGAGTATCCGACTGCGCGGAGTGGATTCTGGCCGGAGAGCTGAGTCCGGAGACGATCTAGAGGAACAGAATGTGCAGGTTTTGAAGCGGCGATTGTCACGAATTGGAGTAACTGACCTCGATGCAGCGCCACCACGGTGGCGAGCGAAAGTAGAATGAGAAAGAAAATCGGTGAGAGGAAGTGTTTACGTGGAATCTCCATTTGTTGTTGTTCTGTTTGTGCAGTTAAGCGATTGGTTTCTCAAATTCACTCTTTTCTCGAGAAAACGAGAGAAAGTGAAAGGAAACGGGGACTTAGTTTTCAAAAGAGTGAGAGTGAAGTGAATGTGAGTGTGAAACTGAGCTATTCATTGTGTCTCCTATGAAGTCTGAAATATTTTTTATGATTTTTTATGATAAATATAGTATATATTATTTTAAGACAATGAAAATTATTTTTTTATCATAAAAATTACAAAAAAGGTAAAAAAAAAAATTAATATAGAACCTGTATACGGTTCCCACTTCTATTACTAAGTCATTCTAATTTCTATTACTAGGGCGCCAAACGCTTCAGATTTACTTTGTTTGAATATAAAAATGAATTTAAATACGTAAATATATATTGAATTTTAAAAATGATTATTTCATTTATAATTTATTATAAATTTTTTATTAGATATTATAAATGCAATGACTAATATTATATAATTAAGGGGAAAAAATTAATAAGACTATTTTAGTTGTATCTTTGTCCTTTTATGTAAGAATTCTTTCTAAAAAATTTATTTATTTTGTTATAAGATTTTTCTCTAAATTGTGTTTTGTATTATTTTGTATTGGAAATATCTTTAATTACTGTATGTTATTTCTAGGTAAATAAACAATTAATATTATAAGCTAATAAGGTATATTCTTTCTCTTTTGACTATGATTTAATAAGACAACGCTATTATATACATAAGTAATAAGAAAAAAACTTCAACAAATTTTAAGTGGTGATAGGCTTACAGTTCGCAAAATAACATATTGAAAAATTAAGAATTAACGAATGAAATTGTAACAAGTAGCTTAGACATTTGACAATTAGGTGTTCTGTTTCCAATAGTTCAAACATTATGTTTATCATATATTTTACATTTGATTTTAACCTTTACAATAACCATGATAGGATACAATAGGTTAAGGGGAATTATCTTCAAAAAGGAAGATTCAATGGATAAATCTAAAAGTAAGTATTTTGAATTTTCAACATTAATTTTTGGGTAAAAACCTATTTTGGTCCCTTATAATAATTGTTTGTTTCAATTTAGTCTCACTTTTATTTTTTGTCTCAATTTGGTCCTTAATAAATTAATTGGTTGCAATGTGGGACTTCCGTCTAAATTATTTAAACGGAGTTAATTATTGGTCACGTGGATGCCACGTAGATGCATAGGTAAATGTCACGTGGATGCCAAATATCTTGAAAACACCTGGAACCAGAACGGCCCCGTTCTGAAACCAGAACGGGACGTTCTGGGTGCACACTTGGTGTGTTAATTTTGCATTTGAAACAGGTCGTTCCACATGCAAAATTAACACACCACGAGTACATAAGAACGGCCCGTTCTGAAATCAGAACGGCCCGTTCCAGAACTATAATAATTTTGAAAAATATTTTTTTATGGTAAAAAATTAAAAATTACTTATTTTTATAAAATACAATTTTCTTATAAATAAAGTGATAACTTTTCCTTTTTCTCTTTCTGTCTGAAGAAATATTTAAGTGTCACTTAAGAATTTTTGCAACTTATTTAAAATTAGAGGAATAAAATGATAAAAATTAATAGGATAAACATAATAAAATTATTAATTTGTTTTCTTTTAGTGTCCTCTAAATTTTTACACTCATTTAAAACAAAAATATTTTATATGTTATTTTGAATTAATTTAACGAAGTATCATATGATTTTTAATTTTTTTTAAAATTTTATAAATTTGATCTATACATGAAAAACTTTTTAATTTAACAATTAAATTTTTAAAAATTTGATATAGAACATTAATTATTAAGTAAAATAAATCTATCAAGACTTAATCTTGAAGTAAGTAAATTTTTTCTTCATTAAAAATGAAGATAATTTTGCCACAAAATAAAAAATAATTAAACAATAAAATAAAATATAAAAAATATATTAATGTATTTATTATATTAGATATAACAAGATAATTAAAATATAATTAATAATATATATTTTATAAAATTATTAATATTTTATATATAAAAAAAAAGAATGAAAAAAATTTTAGTGAGGGCAACTGCCCCCACTATGATTAACTTAGATCCGTCCCTGCATGTGGTTGTGTGGTGAAATGTTAGTCCTATATATCATTTTCCTTTACTTTAGGTTCTACCTCTTCAAGAACAGGTTGTTGTTATTGGGGTACATCGTTAATGACTTCAAGAAAAAATACCATGTCATTTCATCTTTTACCGTACAGTGTCAATTTGGTAGTAAGTGGTTCACTCCAGTTTGACTAACAATGAAATAAATTTGTTACCATTGTCTTTAGTGATACACTGCATTGTCCTTAATGATACACTGTATAGTCCAACTATTTAGCAATTGAAGTTATTAATTTCTATTGACAATATTACCAAATCTAGTGTTTGAAATGCTTTTTACTAAATCATTAATTGCAGTCTGGAACCAGAACGGCCCGTTCTGAAACTAGAACGGCCCGTTCTGGTTGCACTTCTAGTGTGTTAATTTTTCACCTGGAACGGGCTGTTCCGGGTGCAAAATTAACACACCAAGAGTGCACCTAGAACGGCCCGTTCTGGTTTCAGAACAGGCCGTTCTGGTTCCAGGTGTTTTCAAAAAATTTGATATCACCTATGCATCTATGTGGCATCTACGTGCATGCCACGTGGCCAACAGTTAACTCCGTTTAAATAATTTGGACGGAAGTCCTACATTGTAACCAATTAATTTATTAGGAATCAAATTGAGACCAAAAATAAAAATGAAACTAAATTGAAACAAACAATTATTATAAAGAACTAAAATAGGTTTTTAGCCTTAGTTTTTTATGAAGCTATTTTATTTTAAATTACCATTAATATTTAAAATTATTTTTTATATTATTTTATAGTCTCATATAGTTAGGAGTATGAGTCAGACATTATATTATGAAGATGTTGTTTATTGTTGTCCAAGCAGATATAGTAGATGCAAAGACTATTGTAAGTTTCATAATTTGGAATGTTTTTAAGTTGTAAATTTAAGTTGTGTATTATGTGGATTAAATTGTGATTCATTTACATATATACATTACTTTCAGGATTGGTGACCTTTGTCTATCAAAGACATATATACATCTTTCAGCGATGGATATACGTAGAATATTGTGGAGTACTTTGCCCCATTAACAATTTACAACCTTTATCTTTTATATAATATATACATATATTATATTACAATGCTTCACAGATAATATAATATTTTAAAAAATATTAAATTTTGATAAAAATAAACTTGCATATCCTTCGACAACAAACTTAACTTTTTTTTTTAAAAAAATTATAATATATATATACTACATCATAATATCCCTCACATATAATATATGAAGTAAAATTTTGGTTATGAATGACATTTTCATTGTAAATATTACATATTCTGCAAACATAATTTTTTATTTTTATTTTCGTATTAGATAGATAAGTTAAAATTGAAGTTGAAAAAATTGTATTATAAATATAATATTTTTCTAGATGAAAATAATTGTAACTATAATAATTTATTCACTTTTATATCTTTTATTTCTCCTTTCTCTCTATCCTCTATCTCTCTCATGTCTCCTTTCTTCCCCATCCTTCTCTCCTTTCTATCTTCCTCACTTCTCTCTTCTCTTCTTTCTTTTATCTCTAACTTGTAACATTCTTCTTCTCTTCCTCCTCCTCCTCCTCTCTCTCTCTCTCTCTCTCATCTTTCTTTCTCATCTCTCAAAGTCTTCTTTCCGTTTTCTTCTCCCTCTTTCATTTCTCTCTCATCTCTATTTTTTTTCCATGTTTCTTCTTCTTTACTCTCTTTTCCATCAAAGTTTCCCCTCCTCTTTCTTCTTTCTCTTACTTCTTTTTCAATGATCAATATTTTTAAAAAAATTATTGAATAATATGTAAAATTATTTAAAATTATATAATGTCTAATGTTTATTTTTATAAAGTTTAATCTTAAAATTTTAATATTAAAATGAATTTTGTCTATAGTGAAAATTATTTTGTTCTATCCAAAATAATAAAAATTAAATTTTTTTGAATTGATATACCCAAATACAAAATTTAATAGATAATGAAAATTTAAACAAAGTAATTCAAATATAGATTTCGTACAAAGTGATGTAAATTTAACTTAGATGACAAAATGAGATTTTTCATAAAAAATTAAAATTAGAACTCATTTTTTTTTTTTTACATATTTGTATTTTTTTTACATAAAAATCGTTATTAAAAATATTTCTAAGTTATATCAACTCCTATATATTAAATACGAATATCTATTTTATTCAAAAATGTCTTTAGGAACTTTTCTTGAATAAGAAGATTTTTTTAAAAAAAAATTATCTTAGCTAATTTGTTTTTTTTAATTTATCATACTTATTTATTAAATAAATTTTAATATTTTTAAAATATACTATCAATAAATAAAAATAATATTGTACTATAATATAAATTTTTTATAAAAAAAATATAACTTACGTAAGTTTTAAATATAATTTGTATATATAATTTATTATAAATTTTAGTTATGTATAATAAATACTAGTT